GGAGATAACATATTATTGCGCAGAGCGTAGCTTCTGTTAGCCTTCACTGATAGTATTACTTTGCGCCTAACTATAAAGACTATGCAATACCATTCTCCCTTTGATCATTCTTTTCTAATGGAAGTTACTTTACTTTACCAGTGCAGCTGCGTGAATTTTTGTCTTCCTCTTGGGTTGAGATTTATCAAAACGTTACAAACTCACGGGAACTCCACACAGTTTCAAAAACAAAACGACAGACGTTTGAATTCTTGTAGCAGTTATAATAGTTGCATATGTGAGGCAGCGTGGAGGAATCAGGCTCTCGTCAAAATAATCTAAGTGAAGAAACTTGCATTTTTCCACAGGTTCTGGAATTCTTTTCAAATTTTTGTTTTTTGGCTCAACACCTTTCATGTCCCTTAAAGAACTCATTTGTGTATGGATTTTTCTGAAAAATGTTTGTTAAAGGTACAAAAAATGTAAATTTTCAGTTACCGCGGACTCTTAAGCTAAGGAAATAACTAATCTTTGGCGGCCATTTTCTCACTAATTTTACTGAAAACAGGTGAACCCCACCCCCTTCATTCGCAAATAACTCGACTTGTATTCAAGATAAAAGGATACCCCCCTCAAAAAAAAAAGAAAAAAAAGAAGACAAATGAAGAAGCTTTAAGATGATACCAATAACTCTACATGTCCAAAAATTGACGAGAGCCTGATTCCACCACGCTGCCTCACATATTATTTCTCACTCTCATTTAACTTGTCCATCCATCCCTGTAAGTTGGTCATTTTGTTGGAAACTGCCAGGGTATCCCACGTACTCTTGTTTAAAATGCAACACACTTCGGACACAGTATGAACTGTGTGGTTGAGAATTCACAAGACTATCATAGCTTCTTCATAGTTTATCGGTGAACATTTCTTGTCCTATGAGTCATCTCTGAAGTGTCAGACTAAGGTATGTTAAACAAACTACTACAGAGATGCAAATGCTGGTACTTTAAAAACTGGACACTTTTCTTAATATTATACGGGCTATCAAAGCATAGTATTTCAATCATCCGGTTATTGTGAAACGACTGGATCCAGACATATGGAGCAAGGACTTCATAATCACAAACAACGTTGTCACTTTGAGAATTAATAGTTCATAGGCGTTAACTTCACAGTTCTCAATATCATATGATGTTAGTAAACAGTCTCCGAGGCAGGTAGACAGACGGGATTGTTGAATGACAAAAGAGGTACGGGCTGGAAGAATGACAGTCGGGGACAGAAAGGCACGACACGGTATTCAACAGTTTTCTTCATGAACAGATGCCTCGTTTAGCAGGGCCAGTCATGGCAGAAATAATAAACAGGAAATATTGACAGAATTGACAGATCATGAATCAAGGAGAAGATGGAAACAAGTATGGAAACAAATGGATCAGAATCATGACCGTACTTGAAAAAGCAATACATGAAACATTACTACATCTATATATTCTACTATAATATGTTAATTTAAATAGTATCAAAATATCAGTAAATCACATGCAAACACTATCATTTAAAATAATCAGACTTTCAAAGGTAAAATATTTGGTATACATTTATAAACAGTGATTTCATTTTTAAGACAAAACGTTTTGCAATAACCATAAATTTGAACGTTCAAGGAGAGCAAGAAGAACTCCCTGAGGGCCAGAGAAAAACAGTTAAACTCTAATTGGTCGCTTTTAAGCACAAGCGGGTATCTAAAAAAATGCTGCTTTGAGAAAATCGAAAGTAAAGTTTTTGCCCCTTGTTCAGTTTTTAAAAAAAAGACAAGGGCAGTTTTCTCTATAACCAAACAAATATACACACCAATGAAACAAAACAGTGCCCATTGTTGGTGTAGGTCAACGTTTCTGGAAACCCCCGAAATCTGGGTTAGCCTGCTTGTCCTTAAAAGATACCAATTTGTGCGCAGAAGATTTTCTACTTCTTGTATCCCTAACATGACAGTGACTGGAAGCACACAACACTCTTGATACCCAGACCAGAAAGATGTATAACAGATATCGAGTTTCCACACACAGCCTGAAAACATCGAACAAGTAGACTGATATCTATAGGCCTTCCTAACAAAGAGGTAGAGTGAAGATCCATATGTGGGTGTGCCTTGTTTCATCAGTTGAACGAAACGTTCCTTCGTTAACAGTACTTTGCTTCTAATGTACACAAGGAGTATGCACAAGACTTAGCGAAGCGTATGTGAATTGGTTGTCTATGAAATGGGATCTATTTCAAGCTACCGTAGTGACGTTTTCAGATTTGCGTAGTCTTCCTCTTGTTTAGCAGACAGAGCAGCAGTTACGATAAATGGAGTCTTGCCGTAACAATGGCGTAAATGGCAGTTCATCAAGATTTTCTCATATAAGCGCAAAAGTACCACCTTCTCAACCTAACAACACATACTCATACACCCACACACATACACATACATACATACATACATACATACATACATACATACACACACACCACACACACACACACACACACACACGCACAAACAACAACACAAACACAAACGCACAAGCACACACGTTAAATAATCATTAAATGCTTACGTCCAATCTCGAAAAACGTAGTTACTAACACCTCATACTCACACCACACACACAACTGCTAAAATAAGCTCCCCCTCTCGTTCTCTCTCCCTCGTTCTCTTCCCCTTCTCCCTCTCTCTCACACACATACGCATACACAAATACACATATTATACACGAGCACCCATACGTACACACGATCGAAACCAGACTTATTTCAACCAAGTGATAAAAAGGTTTACCTCCAACAAAGACATCTAAAACAACAACAGAAAGGAACAGCGACAACAACAAAGAACTACTTTTTTCTCTTTTTCATAATCCCCAGCAAGCAGATGCAACCGCATTATAATCATCCATGACAAAAATACCGCAAAGAGTACATTATGAACAAACCATTTATCTCTAAAATCTGGAGATGAGCAAGTTGAGAGAGCAAGAAACAGGAAAGAACCACAGGGGCGCAAATTGTACAGAAAGTTGCTATATACATAATATCACATTACAGATGGTTGCAGATGAGCCAAACAGAATATTGCAACATGGCAGTGGGGGTTAGAAACACCTCTACAACAAATCTGCATGTTATGAGGGTTGTAACATCAAGCAGAAAGAACCACATTTTGTTAGAAACTCACTACGTCATGCTCATTATTGATACACATAATGAATATTATAGAGTATTTCAGCGATCTGACCTTCGTAAAAGACTTTGTCGCTTGACAGACCAAAACCTTTGCTACTTCAAAAGTCAAATGAAATATTACACTGTTATTCAGTCTTTTTCAGTAAATGATTAATTTTTAGTGTCTCGAGTAAAGCGAACTTGAGCTTCTTTCAACTTCATGCAGGATTTGTGATAACAAGAGGGTGACAAAAAGTCTTCTTCTCCTGATCATGAAATAAATTGAAAAGAAATTCTGTGCCTAAATGATATATTAGCATCATTATAGGGCAGGAGAAAGAAAATCACCTCTTTTGATTTACCAGCATGTGTACTACACTTTGTGGCTGACCGTTTTGTTCGAAAATCGGCTTGCATGTCGTATCGTGTCAGCTAATAACAGTTACTAAAGTGTGCCCTCGGGTTGAACTTGAAACTTACTAACTAATGCTAACTTTCTGTCATTATGGGTAACCTTTTCTGTATAGGACAGGACAAAAGATCAACCATTTATTCATGTCAGTTACTCTGACAAAATAAACAACACTAGCTCTTAAGAAAATTAACGTACCTCGTGTATTCCACACAAAGTTAAAAGACATTTATTTTTTCTAAGTTAAAACGAGTTTAAATCATAATGCTGGCTCGCGGAAGACGAAAATTAGGGACCTGAGCAGTAGTCAAGCATGCAAAAACAGTTGTCCAGTTTGTGGCACCTAATACAGCCTAATTCTTGCAATCTGATCAACGATCATCATAAAAGAAATTCACAAAGATTGATGGCATGGCTTTCTAGAAAGAATACCCAAAGGTAAGTAATAACAAACGAAAAGGATTAGTGGGCACAGACTAAGTAAAACAAGAACTGGTTACTTTTTGACACAAGTGAGAAACGTTTGTAAAAAGAAAAACCTCTACAGGTTATATAAAATTTAAAAATGTTTTTGGGAACACATATTGGTATCAATTTATGCTAAAATGAAACAGGAAATGAGATTATTAAATTTAGAAAACACAGCAAATTTCTGAAAACTAAACACAGATTGCAGTAACCAGTTTCTGAACTATTAGAAACCAGAGTAAAATCCACTTTTGAAATTCAACCTTCGTACTTTGTGTAGGTATAACAAAAAGTTAAAAAACCCAAAGCAACAGTGATTCGTCTTTCCTTTGGCAAATCCTAAAACTTTTAGTTCCTACAATCTGAACAACAACAAACTGAACACAGAAAGCAAGTGTCCTGTAGCAAATTCAAGGTTACAACTATTGAATAAAAGTTTACACGGGATCAAATGAAGCAATCACGAAGGCAACGTCTACACTAGAACTAGGAGGGAACTGTGGGTACACTTTTTGAATAACTGTGACCTAGAAAGAAGTCTCTTTTCCCCCCATATCATCTACATTGACGTACACATTGCCGTCATTGTCACGTGGTCTTCTCACACTGACGTCATTGTCTGCCTCTCGCGGAGATGACACGTAAGAGAGTTCTCTTTCCTCGGCGCTAGGTTTCATTTTGTCCACATTGTTACTAGGAGGTTCCCTCCCTTGGCTCGAAGAAACTGGCGCCTGACTGGGAACTCTGCTAGATTGCTGTGAAGGAAGATTCGTGGTTGGCTTCGAGCTCCCCACCCTCTCACTAGAGTCCCGGCTAGAACCAATAGAACTGTTGGGCTCCGGTGATGTAGCAGCAGATGTACCTGAATCTTCTTTCGAGAGTTTCGAAATACCTCCCGGGGAGGACGGTACGTTGTTTGACACATCTGAGAAGGTGGAGGAGGACGCCGGGGAGGCGGGGCTGTCTAAAATGACGGGGTCATAGCGTCTGTCTTCGTCGTCTTCCGCCGGAGGAGGAGGGGGAGGGACGAAGGAACGCACGGGGGGAGGGGGCGGGACGCGGGAGCGCGGGGCCACGGCGGGGGTGTACAGCTCCTCTGCCGGTGGTGCTGGAAAACCTGTGCCGTGAGCGACAGGGGGTGGAGGGAACGTCGAGGGCGACGTTGGAGGGGGAGGTAGAGGCGGCGAAGGCGAGGAGACAGCACGCCCCTCTCCTCCAGAGCTGGTTGGCGACTGTGCTAGAGCTTCGTCGAACGTTGGGGGCGGGGCGTGAATGTCGAGGTCAGCGAACCGTTCACTTCCTTCATCGCGCGGGGCGGGGCCTCGACTGACAGGCCTAACCACGCCTACTCCTGAACTCCCACGTTTATCGTTGTCCCCCGGTCTCGACTGCTGTGGGTAGGAATAACGGGAGCTGGGCTCTAACACATCTTGAGGGTAAGAACTGGGATATGAAGAGCGAGCGGCGTTTAGAGGCTGATCGGTTCGTGGAGGATGCGTCCTCTCGTCTGGGTACATCAGTGGTTTGTCCAGCAGATCGTCTTCATCGCAATCGTCGGCACCGAGCAAAGGTCGACTAGATGTAGGGTCAGAGGTCACAGCGTTGCTGTCACTTGGTTGTTGACGTCGACGTCTTCGAGCTGCTGTCCCGTTCTGAGTGGGCGGAGCATCTGGCTCCCGCTTGAAGGATCCCTCACGGCTTTGCGTGCAGGAAGGATCCAGGGAGGCTGTGTGTCTGTGGCAAGAAAACACAAATTTGGGATATGGTTATAAGCATTTCTACATAAAACGAAAGACGAGGAAGAGTAAAAATCACCCAAACCCTAGCCATAAAAAGAGAACAACATCAATTCTAAAACAAGTATAAAAGCTATAACAGAATATCCCCCACAAATTCAAAATGTCAGTTGCGATCTTCTTCTCCTTCCTCTTCTTCTTCTCTAAGGAATTTCGCGTAAAGTGCCTTTCCCAAGGACTTAACGTCGGACCGAGCTGACCAGCTTGTTTGGACAGCAATACAAGTCAGAAGTTGGAAAAACCATCCCTGCATATTACTAATAGTAATTTAAATATAATAATAATATAGAGTGAGAGACACCAAAGACAGAAAATGACCAGTTGGACCACTGTTGGGTAATGCCTTAAACTATTTAGGCATCAATAGGAAACTGGAATTGAATCCTTCGTAAAAGAACGGGATTCTTCAGAGGAACTTCAAAGCGAAAAGAAATCTTATAGTGGTGAGAGCCTTAAAAACCCCGGACACCTGATTCCCTTTTCGTTCTTACGGTTATTTCTTCAGCCTAACAAAATCAACGCTTTTCTTCTCTTATCCCGAGGCCTCAAGTTTATGAAGCCAGGCATGTGATAGCCTTCTAGTGCAAGGCTCTAACGATGTTCTCAGTGTTCCTTCTCGCCATAATTATTGAAACATTAGGTCTCATTCTGAAACAGAACACGCAAAGAAGGCATCCCGAGGCAAACATGAAACACAATAACGTTTTCTATATTAATACAAGAAGGGTTACGTTCAAAAGAGTATCAGGGCACCTTCGCGTATCAAAGGGATATTTCGTTCTCTAATCATGTCTGAGCTCAGTACTATGTAGATCAAACTTGAGTACAATCTACGAACGAAGAAGGCACAGCATTAAAATTTGTGTCAGACTCCTAGGTCGTATTAATTTGCTTTCAAAGCTGTAGGCAATACTAACCCTTTTCCAAACAACATTCTTTCTGTTTCTATTCTGAATGTATTTTCTTAATTAAGCTCGCGTAGAATGTCACTTCTTGACGTAAAGGAAGGGAAAGATTAACTCGTTTACTTATCAAGCAGCTGTGAGCTTCTATAGGTTGCAATTAAACACCGGGTGGGAAATCTGATTATCTGAAAACAAGACTGCCTTGCTCATCCTTCCTTTAGCCACGAACAAACGTTATCAAGACTACAAAAAGTATACCTCTTGCAAATAGGACAATCACAGGGAGTGCACAATAGACGGACAGTGATGCCAGCATAAAAAAGGCACAACACAAACAACAGAAGAAGTAGCAGCACTTCAAAAATAGCACGGACATGAAACATCAATAATACAATATTGTTGTGTTTTCGCGTCGCTGTTAACTGTGCTGGTGTGAGATATGAACTTGACGGCCATATTCGGAATTTAAATTCTAGAGACTCTAAGAAATTGTTTCTCAACTTTCAGTTGTTTCCTCTAAGCCAGATGTCCCTACGAGGGACCAAGTGCAACGTTTACTCTCATTCTCCCCATTTTGTCCTTTTTCCATCTGCGTCATAGGCTTCTCTTCTCTCTCATTTTGCACCTACGTAATAAGAGCCGACTTAATTTTACTCACGCAATCTGCTTTCGTAGCTGCGAGATTTTGAGCAGGGCCAGATCCAACTCGTGTTTCACTTTCCAGAGTTGGGTTTCACACAGTGGGTCCTTGCATTTGTGCTGGCGGTGGAAGTCTATCGCTTCCATCACTGACTGCTCGAAGGTCAACGACTGACCCATGCTCTGAAAGGAAAATGAGGGGTTTTGTGGGGTGTACAGAATTAAAAAAATTGTTGCTTGAAAAGAAGCCTCCCCCAAAAAACCAAAACAAAAACAATTAATAAAACCCGTTTCGCAGTTAGTAGCACTATAAGTGTAAATTCAAAATTGAAAGAATTGCAAGGACAATGTTACATTGGGAAAGGGACATTACCTCATTTTCTGAGAGTATATTCTGCAGCATTACATTATTATTTAGCGCTTGGACATAATAATATGTGCATTATAGCGTGTGAGCCCTTCACAGTCAGCAAAACTGTATAGTACTGTAACTCCTTGTTGTCAGGTATATCTCCGGAGAAAGTAAAATTACTTCAAACTGTCATAAACAATGCTGCACGTTCAGTTTTCCAGAAAAGAAAGCAAGACTCTGTTACACCTCTTTTACAGGCACTGTGCAGGCTTCCTGTTTAGAAAAGAGTTATGTACGAAATGGCCACTCTATGTCATAGGTGCTTGAATGATAATGCGCCATTCAAATTCATGAAATCTATTTAGATTGTACATTCCAAAAGGCAGTGTAGGTCATCAGCTGACAAAAAGAAATTTCTTTTACCATCTATGAATCTTAAAACAATGGGTCAAAGGGCATTTTGATATTAAGGCCCCCGAGATCTGAAATGCTCTGCCAAGCAGTTTAAGAGAGATCAGATCCTTTAATTCGTTCAAATGTCAGCTAAAATCATTTCTGTTTTTAAATTTAGGAGATAAAGATTCAGAGAGAGTTTTTGTTTAGGTCAGATTACAATGTTACTGCTGCAAAGCGCCCAGAGCCTGTGTACTTTAATCGGGGTGGAGGGCTATATAATTGCCATATATTATTATTATTATTATTATTATTATTATTATTAATATTATTATTATTATTATTATTATTATTATTATTATTATTAGTATTATAATATCATTTGGAACTTGTTTTGTCAAGTAAAAAACCCAACAAAACCCAAACCATAGACGTGTTGTAAGGGAATAATCCTTATAAAAGATTACAGTTAGCAATAGCCTGATTCTTTTCTTTGTACTAATGAGTATTGGCTTTCTCTCCTATTTGCCAATGAACAACTTCAATGATGAATGTTTATTCGGCGAATCAAGGACCCTATCCCCAAAAACAAAACACCCCCAACATAAAAACAACAACAGCAAGAAAACCAAACAAACGAAAAAAACCCCACCCACACTGTAGTAGGCCAATTGCTAAACCTACCAAGCTGACCAATGAGCAGCACCCTCGCCTATCCCACTTCCGTAAGGATTTCCGGCCAAACCGGAAGTAGACATGCTCCATCACCATGAGAACGAGGCCCAGTATGACCCCGCCCCCGAGGAGGATGAAGGCGGAGGTGAAGTTGAGTATACCCAACGTGTGGCTCGACACGCCTGTCTCCTTCTTCTCATGACACGCCCCCGCCAGCCAGAACCGCTGTAGCCGCTCTATCTCTCCTGAAAAAAAAATCAATGATACGATAATATAAGATCGTCTTAGTTTTAGTACGTGTTTTACGGCAATTGCAACACAATAAGGTCATATCAGTGCTTAGTTTTAGTTTAGTTTTAGTAGAGGTTTTACGACGCTCGCAACTGCATAAGGTCATATGAGCGTCAGAAGATTAGAGGTGTTACGAGAGAGTAACATACACAAAAAAGAAGGAGGGGAGATAAGGACGATAGATGTTTGATAGAAAGAAGAAGCAAACCCCACCAGAGCACCCGCCAACCACCCACCATATCAGTGCCGAAGTTTAAAAGTGTTACAAGAGAGTAATAAACACAAAAAAGAAGGAAGAGATATAAGGATGATAGATGTTTGATAGGAAAAAAGGAGCAGACCACACGACAGCACCCACCAATCATCCACCTAATATAAGATAAGGTGAGATAAGAAAAGATACAGTAAAACTTTATTGTTCCAGAGCGAAATGTTTTTTGGCTGTGCAGGACCGAACAAACACATGCAGGTATACATAAACTTTTACATTATATATCACTCTCATTAAAAACCCAGTATGAACAGAAAAGTAAAGCTGAGATCTGAAAGGGCCTCTTCATCACTGAGCAGCGCCGTAAGTTGTTTTTTGAGAGGAAGATTTCAAACAGTTTGATTTAATCTGTCCTTTAAGGTACAATGAAAAAAAATAAAGATGGCATTGCCTTTGTTTGTTTTTAGCTTAATAAAAGTTTCACTGCACTTGCAACACAATCAGGTCACAATCTAAGTGAAGAGGATTGGAGGTATTATTAGAGAGTATCGTAGACAGAAAGAAGGAGAAGAGATAAAGACAGAAGATGTTCGATAAGAAAGAAGGACCTCACAACAAAGAGGGGGGGGGGGGTATTTGCTTCTGTAAAGAGAAACACATCCGAATAATAAAGATTATTTAACGCCTAGGAACAAGCAAACCAGACAGAAAGAAAGATCAGACGGAAAGAAAACCGGTCAACCCCCCGAGTTAATGAGTTCATCCAATCCAGATTGTAACAGGAGAGAGGTGGCTGGTTTCAAGACTACTATAATCTTAGGACATCACTTCATTATTATCATAATCATCATCAAACGCCAGATCTGCGTCAGGCATTGGCGATCACGGTTCTCCACATACATTCCATTCCTTTGCTCGGATGCTCTAAAAAAAAACTACATTATCCTGATCTTTCCCGGTTAACCATCTGCTTAAGTTTCCCAAAGTAAAGTTGATCTGGGTCTACCTCTGCCTAGTTTGCCTTTAATTTTGCCAGTGAGAGATAGATGTTCAAAGCCTTGATGTGTATTCAAGTATCCAAGAAACTGCATTTGTCACACAATTCAACTATTAAAAAAATCAAAACGTATTAAAATGAAATAATTTATTGTGGAGGTCAGAAGTTGCTGTTAACGACTTCCGTCACATTTAATTAGGTTCACTAGCCGGTCTGGTTTTCCTACCGAATCTGATCAAACAGATTAAACGAACTGGATTAGCGTCTGTCTGAGCCATGTGAAACTAAAACACAGCTAATGAAGTTCAGGCAATAGAATCTCCTTCCTAGAAAACAAAAGCGCGCACGAAAAATTAATTGTCCAAACATAAAATGTGTCACGACACTGTGGAATCAGGCTCTCGTCAGTTTTTGGGCGTATGACGTCATTGGTATCATCTTAAAGCTTGTTCATTTGTCGTGTCTTTTTAAATGAACATTTCTTGTTCCTTTGATAGGCGATTTTCAGTAAGAAAAACACACAATAGTGTTTTAAATGAACATGATAAGCTCTGAGGGAAAAAAAATCAATAAAGATTGCCCAAGTGCTGATAAATGTCTGTTTCTTTGATGTTATTATTTTGACGAGAGAATGATTTCATTATGATGCCACACAAATTCATTAGATAAAAACAGACTGTTTTCCAAAGTTGAGATGAGAACGCTCTGTTTTATTTATATTACTACGCTTTTCACAATATGTAGCGTTGTTTTCTTGACATTAAATAAGTGCGTAGTTCGCTCATGTAATACATACTTCATTGCGCTGTGAACATGAAACTGAATGAAGCAATCATCATATCCGAAAGGTATTTCGCAATGATCTACTCCTACTTTTCTCAAGAATTGCAAACATCGTGACCCAAAGAAATGTATCGGTCTGAGCGATAAAAGCTTTTAAAAGAGTGAATTTGAGATAGGAGAAGGCGCTGGTCCAGAAGGAGCTTAGGAGAAAACAGAAAACAGACTAGGATTGAGAAGCTAAAGGTTAAACAGAAAGACACAGCAGGTGAGTGTGTGTGTGTGTGTGTGTGTGTGTGTGTGTGTGTGTGTGTGTA